TATACACTTTGATGAAATATAAGGTATCATTAGGCCCGAGTGAGGAAAAAAAATAAATCTGGAGAAAATTGCAGGAAAGAGAATAAAAGGGTTAAATAATACAACAGATTATATATAATAAAAATAATATTAAATTTATTTATGATTATTATTATTTTTTACGTTTGCAGCCGATTTGTTATATGAATACCAATATTTGTTGCAAGAGCAAAGGAAAAAGATACCGCTCGATTTTTATCAGATCTACGCATGTTAACAAAATAAAATCCATGTATTTCTTTGTTATTGTTTCTCTGATATTATAATTTTCACACGTATAAAATATAGTTATTCAAAGAGGTCCTTCCAAGTCGTTTTTCTTAAATAATAAATTCATTTAGTGTTTTAAAAGTTATTGTGCTTTTATGTTATTTTAAATATAATAATATCCCATGTTCCATCATATTATTCCCATTATATTATATTATATAATTCACGATATATATATATATAGTTGTATAGTTTTATACAGTCATATATGTAACTAACCTAACCCAGCCTAATGTAATCTAACCCAACCTATACATTCATAGTTTACAGTGTAATTATAAGAATTTTTGAAAAATTATGTAGGATCACTAAGGTGCCCTCATCAGTCACCACTGCGTGTACCGGCTAGGTACGGCATTGGCAGCAAGCTGTGACGTCAGCTGACGCATGCGCATAAAGCTCTTGCATGAGATAAAATCTCACGACTGCCCAACATTGCGTGCAACTGATGCTTTTTTTAGGTAGCGTTTACATGTGTCCAGAAAATTTCGCGTTGAAACTGTGAACAGTTTTAAATTTTTGAAATAAAATTATAGAGTTATAAATGCAATTTTAAATACAAAATTAAATCAGTAATAATAATAATATATTTATAATATTATGAATAAAATGTTATAATGCAAATTTACCAAACAGTGGTCCCATATGTGCTCATTTAGTGTCACCAGATATGTATCAGTGTTCCACTTTTTAAGCAAAAAATTCCCTTAAATTAGTGCATTATCGCCTTTATTCGCGTTTATACCAGTTTGTAGTCACTTGCAGCAGTAAATGACGGTTTTGAGTCATTTAAAGAGCATGTTTTTTATTTTACGATTGACAATTTATACGATTACGATTGATAATTTTTACACTAAAGAAGCATAAGTTGATGAATTTTGTGCTATAATTTATAGCGTAATAAACATAATGTTAATAACATAAAATGTGATGTATGAGTAGTCAGTACAAAGTAATTGTTCAGCAATTATCAAAGCATTTATCCAAAGAAAATAATGTGTGTTATCTAATATTACTTATACAATACAACAAGGATAATCAATCTATTTTACTTTACGTAAAAAACGGTACATATTATCTCTTTGTTTTCCTAAGTCACACTTGTATGCTTTGTTATCTCAGTTGTAATCTGAAACTGCTATTGTGCATAGATTATTCTTATGTTCATCAGTAATTAGTAGTTTATAATCGACATATGGTGTTGTAGGTAAATTAAGATATTAAAATGCCAAGTTCACACTTGTATGCTATAAATAATGAAGGGCGTGTGTTTGGATTATCAACATCTGGCAATATGTGGAGAGAATTCATGTACTTGGGTCTTGAATTTAAGCAGTTATCCGCCGTACCACATTTTATGTGGGCCATAGGTGGAGATCGTCAAGTTTATGTACATGTACATGGTTTGGATGTACCAATAAGAATCAAGGAAGAAATATATGAAAATGAAGTATGCTAATTATACTCAATTTTATTACTTTTATTCTGTAAAGGATTATGTAAATGCTATATCAATGGTTATTAATATTAATTCTTCTTCATGTACATCATATTATTATAATATATTACATTTACAGCGTTGGCTTCCTTTAGAAGGATTTAGTGGTAGATTATTACCTACAGACAGATATAATTTTTCTAATCAAGATGGTACAGTTGATCGTAGTAGAGATAAAGTAAAATTACCATCTATGGCATGGCAATGGGAAGGTGACTGGCAAATAGAAACTACATTAGATGGCCAACCACTGGATCATGATGTAATTATTACTAAATTTATTGAATCATTTACACTATATATGTACATATACAGTATATTTATATTTATCATTAATTTAATTTTTATTTTGAATTTCACTGAGTATTACTTCACATTCTTTTTAATTTTTATGTTATTAGGGTTTAAGATATAATAAATTTTAATCTCTTCATTTTTTTAACATAGTAATCTGTGAGATTAGAATGGATTAATTCATTTTATGCTTTATTCCTTTGTTGTTGTATCTCTTACAACTTTCTGTTTATATGTAGATTTGTTGTCAGTTGTCAACATCGAAACAAAGCCTTATGATCACAGAGAATCTGATATTTTGGTAGGGATGGACATATGCAGTTGATTTTCCAGCTACATATACCACAAAAAAACAATGGAAATCCTGTGTTAGAAGAAGAAAGTGGGTTCGGTATAGAAGATATAGTGCTATGAATTCATGGTGTGCTATTGCACCCCTTCATAAAGATGCAACTAAGGTAATATTTCTCAGTTTATGAATTATATTGTTATTAAGTAAATATTTGCACATACTTTTCTATAGCTTTTTGATTTAAGTGTTGCAATACTATTTTAGGAACCATTCATTGATATAACTGTGGGTGGAAATCAAATACCTGGGGGTAGTTCTGGAAGCTTAGCAGTTTGGGCAGTAACTGCCCATGGGAGGGTATAACTTTTTTGAATGTACTACTGTAATAACTATATTATAAGGTCTTTACATGTAATTTTATTGAATAGGTAATGTTTCGTGTTGGCACAAGTACAACTTGTCCTGAGGGGCAAAGATGGAGTGCTATAAAATTGGCAAGTGGTTATGAAGTATGTCAGATCAGTGTTGGAATAACTGGTCTTGTATGGGCTGTGTTAATGATTGGTAAAGCGCTAGTGCGCACTGGTGTTACTAGAGAAAATCCAATGGGTATATAATTATTAGAAAATTATAACATTAGTATTTTAAACAATACTTGCGCATCAAATAATGGGGTATTCTTTTGTAGGAGACGATTGGTCGGAGGTTGATTCACCCCAAAAAGATTTAAAATTAATACAAGTTAGTGTAGGTACCGATGCAGTATGGGCTGTAACACAAGATGGGGGAGTGTGGTTTAGAAAAGGTATTAAAGGTGAAATGAGTGGAGTGTGTGAGCAGATGGCTACTGGTACTGGATGGGTAGAAATGTTAAGTAAGATGTCATTAGTATCCGTTGCTCCGAATGATCAGGTAATTTAGCGTAAAAAATAAAATTCTCAATTCAAGCGATGTATTTACTTTCGAATGTAGATATTTAATTATATAATATTCGATCAGGTTTGGGCCATCGGTCACGAAGATCGAGGTTTATATTATCGTACTGGTATTACACGATCGGAATTGACGGGTAAGAAGTGGAGAATAATAAATGCACCTCTTCAACTTAGTCGAGCAAGTAGTAACGCGAGTTTATCAAGCAACAGACATAGTATGTGTGGTACTCCTCAACAACAAAGACATCAAAGTTGGGGATCGTTGGTACTTATTTCATAAAAGTGTTCACTTTAATAAATAGTATTTTCATTTTTGTTTATAATACAAAGTAAAACTTTTTATTTGTAGAATCGACCACACAGTACCAGTGAAGGTACTACGCTAATTAGAGAATGGGAAGAGCAATCACGTTCTGCACCAACACCAACATCCTTAAAATTATGGCAACGCGTAAATGACGGTACTTCAGTAAAGAATCCACAACAAACATCGTTCCAGGACATATATCTAAATGAAGGGAAAAAAAAGTAAACTTGTCATTAATTTATGTAAATTACCATTACAATTGTATTATCATTACTAATTAATGAAAATTTCAGATCTGCGAATTCATTAGATATGGCTGACTTAAGTGAAGCTAGTGTTGCAAATATAACTATATCCAATGAATCATTGACTAAAACTGGTGAATCTATAGTAGTTTCTGGAAAGGGAATGGGCAGTACTATTAAGGTATGTTATAACTGGAAAATTTAATTAGATTTTTTTCTAGAATTGATGTTGAAATTTTAAATACTGTAGATCAATCCAGCTGCATGGAGTCCTGTTCATTCAGTTGGGTCGATGGTAGGTGTAGAAGCTCACCCAGAAACGGATGGAAGTATATTTGATCCTGATTTAACAAGTGATTCTGGTGTTTATGGAGATGATGAAAGTTCTGGTGCAATGTATTGGGCCGAGTGTGATGCTTCTTGGTATAAAGTGGAAGCAGGAGCATGTTTTGTCGACCCAGCTAATCCTCCAAAATGGTACATTCAATATTATGAATGATGAAGTTATTTTACAGTGATGCTCAGACTTATATTTATGTACGTATTAAAATTATAGGATTGCAGATACCAATGGTGCAAGTCATGGTGACACTGCAGAGCCATGGAGAATGTACATTTTAGAAGAATTGAAAAGAAGATTAAACAAAGTTCAATTTGATCCAACAATATATGAAAAAGTCGTTGAAAAGTAAGAAACTCGAATAATATTAATGCATCAGATATGTTTTATTTATAATTACTCATTACAGATCATCATGGATAAAAAATAGTGATGCAAAATGTAAAGTTAAGGGCAGTACTACGTATGAAGATTGTGTTATTGAATTAGAATGGATAAGTAGCGATAGTGGATTTTTAGATTCTGGAACTCTAACTATTTTGAATTCGGATGGGGCAACAACGATTGTAAGATAAAGAATTTAATGAGACGGAAGTTCATAAAAATAGTTTTCTTTAATTTTGAATAAATATCTTTTCAGATGCAGTTTCCTGTATCCGAAATTATGTGTGTAGTATGCTGTAGCGAACCAGGTAATCCACGAATTGCAATTCACACTCCGCGATTATCTCGTTCTAAGGTTCTTAGATTGCAGTTCTCTAGTGACACTGAAATGGAAGACTGGGTAGCACATTTAACTTCAGGTATGTGTATAAATATGAATACATATTTATTTTCATTATTGTATCAATAAAGTTTCAAATGTTTTCGTGTATCTTTAGTTTCGTGTAAAATCAACAATGTTTATGGAAAACCAGGACCAAACTCAATTTGGGCTACTACTGCACTAGGAGATGTATATGTGTATGATCCTGCTGCTGTTGAGGTAAATTATTTTGTATAAAGTATATTTCATGATAAGCGTATTACTTGTATACAACAAAATTGTTTTAGGAAAATCAGTTTAACAATGGCGTTTACGTACAAGAATTAGATGTTGCTGGAAAAGATTTACCTTTCGAATGTATATTACAAAATGGTTTTAAACATGGTAGTTCCTTAGAAATTACAGTTTGCATTCACGACGATGCTGACAGGTAAAAGATAATAGATAATACAAATTAAATTCATTTGTACCATCAGATTGTTTTATTCGACATTTTTTCTCTTAGATTATCGTTTAATCTTGTCTGCTACACAACAACGTTTGTAAAACAAAAATCCGTAATAGAAAGCCACGATGTTGCGTTACATTTTAATCCAAGACTTAAAGAAAATATAATTGTACGGAATACATATCAGAATGGGCAATGGGGAGACGAGGAAAGAAACGGAGAAAGTCCAATAAAAGCTGGTTCAGATTTAACATTAAAAATCATTTGTGAAGTACAAGGATATAGAATTTTGATTGACGACGCAGAATTTACTTTTTATAGTCATAGAATACCACCTGAAAGTATTACTCATTTTCGAATGAAAGGATTGATGACATTGTGCAGCGTGCTTTATAAATCTACATCGGTATGTAACGATGTTGTTGCTGATAACATATAGTTTTATTATAATAATAGTTTTATATGTACAGGTAATCATTGATCCAATCACCATGTTCTGGAGACAAATTGGAGGACATTTGAAAAAAGTTGAAACTTGTTCTGTTGGTGTAACATGGGGCATTGGGTATGATAGCACTGCGTGGGTGTACACTGGCGGTTGGGGAGGTTTATGCCTTAAAGGTTAGAGGTTTTTAAATTTACAAATTTTATAAATATATTAGATATATATAATATATTCATACTATATATTGTTATTATCAGGATTAGATAGTAATACGGGAATAAATGCTATGGTAGACACTCATAACTATTACGTGTATGAAAATCAACGTTGGAATCCAGTAACTGGATATACTTCTCATGGTCTTCCAACCGATCGTTACATGTGGAGCGACGCAACTGGACGTCATAAACGTACTCGAGAAAACACTAAACTATTATCAGTGCATTGGCATTGGGTAAGGATACATTGTAAGAGGACAATAAAATCCTTTTGTTGTTGTAATAAAGTATTTGTTCTTGTAACAGGTATCAGATTGGATAGTAGACTTCCATACTCCTGGAGGTGTGGACAGAGATGGTTGGCAATACGCAACTGATTTTCCTTCTCAGTTCCATGGTAAAAAACAGTTTACTGATTACGTTAGAAGAAGAAGGTGGTTCCGCAGGTGTCAGTTAACAACTAGTGGACCTTGGCAAGAATTAGGAAACACAAAATTGATTGATGTTTCATTATATGTAAGAACTGTTGAAAATAGTAATATAATTCAGATGAAATATAAATATAAAATTGTATTCGTGTATACTAGGCAACAGGCAAACCTAGTACGGATGCTCCTATATACATTTGGGCCGTAGCTTCTAATGGTGAAGCTTTATTTAGAAGAGGTGTTTCGGAATCGTGTCCTATGGTATAAATAGAAAACCTTTGGTAATTTTAAATACTTTATTTATTACATGCTGAAGTTATTTATTACGCAGGGAATTTCATGGGAACATATACCCAGTGACCAAGCTTTAGTAGGTATTTCGTGTGGACCAGGAGGTCAAGTTTGGGCCGTAGGGAAAAATGGCTCTTCTTATTGGAGGCTAGGCATTACATCCGAAAAACCTACTGGTATTAATGACACTATAAAAGTAATCTATCTGTTTATTTGTAATTTTATTAATGGTCGTTTCATTGTTTAGGTTTGCAATGGCAAAACGTTGAACCGCCCTCAGGAGCTCATTTAAAACAAATCTCTGTTGGAAAAGATGTGGTGTGGGCATTAGATACAGCAGGTAGATTATCTGTACGTCGGGAAGTTCAACTAAATGTTTTTCCGGAAGGAACGCACTGGCAAACTCTTCCAGCGATGCCAAACGACCCTATCCACATAGGTATTTTTTAAATTAATGTATATAGACCAGCGTTTCCCAACCTTATAGTGTCCAAAATTAACCTTAACGATTTCCTTGTCTTAATTTTTATCAAATGTTTTATTAACAATACAATTTTTTTATAGTTACTTTATAAGTGTGCATAGTTAGACAATGTCTAAGAGTAGAAGAATGATGTGTGTTGCCAATATAATTTTTACATCGTCTTACTTGAACTTTTTTAAACAAATTCCAGAAAAAAATGTGATACACTCTTCAAAGGCTGCAGTTCTCGAAAAGCTCTGCAAATTGTCCCTAAAAAACAGTCCCACGTTGGGAAACGTTGATACCGACCGTACATCTGTTTATTTAGACACACTCTCTGACCCCTATTGCATAGGTATATTTTAGGAGTGTGCATTTAGAATTTAGCAAGCTTACCAATTTTTCTATTATACTTTGTTTTATGCAGTTAACAGGATTCGTCTTGCTCGTTATAAAACAATTTTTTGTGAATTCTAGATATGTCAGTTGTAAATGCGAAACAAGGTTTTCGACACATTGATGTTGCAAGGGAAGAGGGTCAAGTATGGGCAGTTTCAGGAGCTGGTATACTTTGTCGTAGGATTGGTGTTACTGAAACGAATCCCGCAGGAACTGGTTGGGTAACTGGTATAGGGGTAAGTTATCATTTAACAAGTATAGTTACGTGTTATTAAAAAATACTATAAAGTTGCTACTACATTCAACAGGCGAATTGGCAGTATATAAATGTGGGCGGACTTGTAAATAAAACTAAATGAATGATTCCTTTTTAAAGAATTGAGAATTCTCGAAATCGGATACTTGAAGTATTATTACATTGCTAGAGAGTGTAATGCTCTAGCGACTTGTTTTCATCAACAATTTTGTCATGAATACCAAAATGGATAAGTACATGTAAACATACGTGTATGTACACCAGTGAGCATTGTAGGCTTTTATACAGAAAACGGTGGAATAGGGAAAAAGGCATCGTTACTTCTTAATTTTTTAAAATTTGGGGATTTTCAAACTTAGAAATTTAGAAACTGAAGAATTTCGGGTTTAGATATTTAGTCATTTAGAAATGTAAATGCTTTTAAGTTTACAGTTAAATTGGGAGAGATGTCTATCCCTACATTTATCCTTTTCTAAAGAAAGTTTGCATTGCACTCAAGTGTACATGTACAAGGCTTAGCTTTTGCAACTACTTAAATCTTACAATATAAGCTTACCACATAACGTATTTAATGAATGAGAAAAATATTATTTTATCTGAAACATACCAACAATACTAATTGACTATGTAATGATTTAGATTATTCTTGGAACGTATTATTCTAATTTATTTCTACTATTTTTGTTCGATAAGTAAAGGGAAGCTTGTGTAAAAAATGACAGTGATATTAAAAGCGTTTAAAAGATATATTAACAGTTCCATTCCTATAGTTTTACCATATAATTTTTCTATTAAATTATTGTCGAATTCCAAATATATGTATTTATATGATTACTAACATAAAGTAATTTATAATAGCACAATAGTATGAAGATGTGGAAAATATTGATTTTATTTTTGACTAGTTATACATATATTGAAAAACCTATGACTTAATTGTACAAAATGCCTTGTCTAGTTATACACTGTTTTTATTAGTACAAGATAGTGAAAAATGAGACTATTAATACAAATTTTTGGAGTCAAAATCATAATAAAATAAGAAATGGTAAATTTTTATTTTAATACTTGTTATGTATTAAACGTTCCATTTCATATAAAAGCTTATTGAAAACTATGTATTTAAACAGGTTGCTTAACAATGGATGTTATTGATGTTTAAAAAATGTTAACCACCGATCAGTGTATGTTCTTTCTATTGAAACAGATACCTCACGATTTTCCTAAGTGCTAATTAAATGTTCCTATATTAGTATATTTTATTTAATGTCACTAACATAATAATTTTATGTTTATCGTCTTATGTAAATATATTTTTTTAAACACTTTTTAAAATTGTATTTTTTTAAGCAAAATAATTTTTGCTGATTTTATAAATAAATACACAAAAATTAATATAAAACGCTGTATTTCATTAGCGCAAGTAGCACTGAAGTTAATAAACATAGTAAAATTTGTTAAGCAATATGTACATTACATTATATTACTTTCACATATAAATAAAAAGGAACAAAATATGTTGATATAATCTTATACACTGTACATTACGTTAGATTTTTATAAAATATTTTGAGAGTTTCTATAATGCATTTTATCATGTGCAACGACGTACAGACATACTTATTTACTTAAAACGTATAACATTTATTGGCATTTAAAAATTTTATGATAAAAACTATTGTTCATCCTGCAATAGAAATCTATGTACAATATACTTATCTTACACAGTCAGAAGTTGTTATTTTCTTAACTTTCCATATATCTTAAATCTGATCAATAAAATATTCATAATTTAAAATAGCAACAATCACATATTATAATATCTATGGCTTTTCGTTCGTTTAATATCAAAAATATTACTTATTGTAAGATCATTATTAAAATTTAGTTACGATTCTAACTTGATCTGCGTATTTTCGTTTTATCATTTCAGCTTCCGCTTTATTTCTTTTACCTTGTTCACTATGAAATATGCCATACGTGAAATAAATAATAAAACCTACAAAAATAAATATAACAATGGAACATGTCAATTACTTCTTTTGCTCCTAATTATCAATATTTTATATATACTTACCAATAAACATCCAAACACAAAATCTAATCCATGTAAATGCATCTAATTGCAACATTAAATATATATTGATAAAAATACTACAACATGGTAGAAGTGGCACTAATGGCACCTGTTAATGGCAAAAAGTAACTTAGACGTGTATGTTCTTCTTTATTTATTATTGTAAAATAAACTTTTAGGATATGTACCTTAAATGCTATACTCGTCTCTTGTGTAGGTTGCCTCGCGACAGCTGCTAGATTTAATAAGAATATTATAAGAACTATAACTAGTATCACAGATTCTACTATATTACTATTGAATAGTCCTGTACCCCCAAATTTGACGAGGAGTGCAATTATAAATATAAGAATACCTGTAATAATATTAACAAATATTAATAAGGTTAAATTTTCAACAAATCAGTAATAATCTTATTCAAACTTACATAATGTAAAAACACCATACTTTGCAACTTTATACGAACTCTCAGTTATCTCTTTTTGATTGCGTAGATTGAATATTTGTTTCAAAACGTCGATCGGCTTTAACTTATAATTGCTTGTTGATGTTATAGAATAAGTATTCGGTTTCTCAGATTCTCTTCCTTGATACCTGATTATCAGAATATTGTAATCATGTTACATATTTAACTAAAAAACGTATTGGAACATTCTATTAATTACATTACCGCTATTACCTTAACATTAAGACAGATATTGCTACTATCGTGTACGCTAATAACGTTCCAATAGACATCATGTCGATTAACTGTTGAAGATCAAAAATAAGAGTCATGAATCCTGTCAATATACCAGATACTACGGTTCCGATAATAGGTGTCATTGTTTTTGGATGGACAGCGGCTAACTGTTTGAAAATTACTCCATCACTGCCCATGGCATAAAGTATTCTCGGTAAGGGGAACATTGCACCAAGTAAACTTGTGCATAATGCAAATGCAGCTCCAATATTAACAATCCATTTAATTGTAGGCCATCCAATTTCTTCAAATGCATGCGGAAATGGAGCTTTAGCGTTCTAAACACATAAAATGTTCTTTGATTATAATATCTGTAGACGTTTGAAACTGAAATTGAAACACTACTGAGCATGTTAAGGTCTAGTCTATACTTTGAGGTGCCAGACTTTTCTAATCAATATGACTGTACCTGATCATAGTACGGCCACATCATAGTCAACACCGTAGAAATGCTAAAATAAGCCATGAATATTATAATCAAAGACACCGCGATAGCTATAGGAATGTTGCGCTGAGGATTTTTAGCTTCTTCACCGGTGGTAGCCACAGCATCAAATCCCACAAAACCGTAGAAACATTTTGCTGCCCCAACCATTACTCCACCTATTCCAAAGGGCATAAATCCTCCTAATCCTGCGGACTCCTTATGCTTGTCCGGTATATCTTCTGGCCGTATCCTCCAATTTGCTGGATCAGCTAAAAATTTAAAGGAAGACGTTTTAATCAAAATATTTGATAGAATACAGTAATCGTTTCTGGAGTTTTGATCTGCAAACTGATTCTAAAGTTAAGTGTTCTCACCTTTAATGGATCCAGCTACAATAATGATCAAAATGGTTATCAAATTGACAACTGTAAATATGATGTTTAATACAGAAGATTCTTTCACTCCTATACTCAGCAGTATCACTAGAAGTACCACCACTCCAAATGCGAAAAAGTCCGGATATGTTGATAGGAACTTAACGTGTATGGGCATTACGGAGGTTAATGCATTCTCTATCGCGTTTCCTATCAATGCGTCCAAATAACTGCTAAGTCCTCGAGCGACGCTGGCAGTACCTAATCAACAGTTACAATTATAGCTTATTACAACAATTACAAGTATAGCTTTTTAATAACAGTAATTTTAAACTGACTCATATGCACTTATTTGAGTATCATGTTCTATATATCTTTGTAAAAAAAGGCTTATTTGTTAAAATTACTGTCACGATCCCAGTCAAATTAATCATACCCTACTTAATAGATATATCATTTTATTCTACTCTTCCCGACTAAACACGATAATGTACTTTGATAAAGATAATGCTTTTTTCAAAAACAAGCTATAATCCCTTAAGAAACGTCGATCCTCTTCTCGAACATATAGCAGGTAAAACTTTTGTTCGCACCTATTATATACTCCAAAATTAAATTCCATCCAATAATGAACGCGACGAACTCTCCTACGGTCACGTAACTGTACACGTATGCCGATCCCGCCTTAGGAACTCTGGAGGCAAATTCTGCATAGCACATTCCTGAAATTCAAAAGATTAAATTAGCTGTTTTCTTTTTTAAATTATTGACTTCTGATATGACAATTTACCCGCGAACGCGGAAGCAATGGCGGCGATAAGAAAGGAAAGACAGACAGCAGGACCAGCTGACTCTTTGGCGACTGTACCGGCGAGGACATAAACTCCAAGACCAAGTGTCGAGCCTACACCGAGGGCCGTGAGATCGAACAACCCTAAAACTCGTGCTAGTTCACCCTTGCTCTCCTGACTTTCGTCGACGCGTTTTCGGGACAGCGCCCTCCACAATCGGCTCGCCATCCCGAGCCTTCTTTTTCACTTCCAATCACGTAGTTTTTCTGAAACCAAAAAAACTCTTTAATAATTAATGAATCAGCGACGAACGCTTTGGATAAAAATTTATACGAGTTAAGATTTCTTTGAGACTTTGAGAGATTGATACGTGAATATAAAAATGTCTAGACTCCCAGTCCTAAATTTTTAAATTTGCAAACTCTCAGCTCAATAAATTTACAAATTCAATCTTCATATCCCTTGATCTATAAATCCTCATATTTATGTTCCCAAATTTGTCTAAGTCCCAAATCCCTAAATCTCCAAATCCTCAATATTCAATAAACAAACGAACAGGAACGAAATGATCGATGGTACTAGACAGCGTAGCGTAAAGTTAAGCGTCGATAAGCGTCGCTCAGAATGATAACAGTGATCGCGAAGACAAAATTCAATAAATGCGTTCCGCGATTACGTGGTAATAGCTACTCAACATCTCGAGATACAATCGTTCACAGCTTTCATTTACCGAATACGTATCTGTCGATTAGAATGCCCCTTGTTTTCTTTCCGTCACGGGAAGACAGACAGTAAGCTCTCACACAACAATATCTTTCTTTTATGTACATAAAATTGAATAACGTTATGATATAGTAGTATTGCGGTTTTATCAAATTTGCTAAGTACATACTCGACTAACAGAAGAGAAATTAATCAATATCTCTGATTTACATCGCACTTATTAATACGATGGCTATATAGATAAAATTAATAGGAAAAATATAGACTGCTTATATTTATCGACTAATTGTCAGAGATATAATTATCAGAGAAGCGATGATTAAACGATAAAATTTCTGGGAACTGTGAATTAGCATAAACAAATACAAATTTAGCACAATTATACCGTACTCTAAAAATATTAAGTTTACAGAATCATATGATTTTTTGAAATCGGAGAGTTTACGTCTATCTCTTCTTCAATTATCAAAATCGAATTAGGTGTTCGCAGTCATAAACCACGTTGACAAAGATATAATCTCGGATTCTTGAAGTAACTCCTTTCACACAGTTCTTCGAAGAGATATCGGCAAATTCCGATATGCACCAAAAAAATATCGATTTACTAATCTTGATGATTTGTTTAACAACGAGTTCTCGGTACCCAACTATTAGAATCGATTAGCGAGGTTCAGCAAAATTATGCTAACAAATCGATTTACAGATAATATAATTCAGCGTATTCGAATCAACTTTTGCGACAAACAATTTGAAAAATTATCGTATATTTAATTTAATGAATATTTGCGCGTGACGATGACACGACTCGTAAATCAAGTACCAAGAAAATCTTTCCTCGTATTTTTAGCGCACATCCGACTCCTGTCGACGGCGACAGGAATTCATGTATAAAAATGCGCGGTTTGTGTTGCAATTACAAGAAATTCCGGTGACCTTTCTATCCAGTAGTCGCGAAAGGAAAAGTCAGACTTGCTTTGATACTTCTAGAAGTTTCGGTTGCTTTCAACAACTTCTTTAACAAATTTACAACAATTGAAAATAATTAAATTTTAACAATAACAAGTACTTCAACTTATCCTTTAACAAATTTACGATTGTAGGAAAATAGTTCAAGTGTATAATAATTATACACTAAAGATAAATTATTTATCTTTCAACGTTTGCACAATTATGAGATTCGAGAAAGCAGTATAACACTGAGATGAGAATCGGAACACGGTTGTGTACAATACTTTTTTCTTCAGTATTATTTGAACAAGAGTCATCAAGGTTGCTCGATCGTTCACCGTCTTCGAATTACCTTGATCCCTTTAAACAACGATCGTGATCAGTGATTTAAAGAAACGGGGAACACCGGCGTGATTACGTATTTACTGTACGCGGGTTGCATCTTGATAAAAATCGTTAGAATTCCCTGCTAATCACGATAATTATAGAATTTTTCTGTGTAACAGTACATATTGACGTAACTACAATTTTTCTATGATTTCACTGTGTTGTATTCGTGGTACACGCACGATGGTGGTATCATTATGTTGTACCTGAAAATTACCACAACTATACGCATTAGTAATACTACACATTCTATTACACGTTATTTTATTACATATTATGTTTCCACGCATTACCTGTTGCATCAACACGCTCTTGATATTACCACGCGACAGACTACCACGCGTTGCTCTACTTATTGCGTTACGACACATTAATATGTAAATTACCACGTTGTCATAAGTAGTATAACTTGAATTATTAATTAGTAGTATAACTTGAAGTATAGCGTTATTGTATTGCTATGCACAGTGTTACAAGTGGTATCCCCACGCGTGATATTACCACGCTTCACATTAGCATACATGGTACTATCATGTGTGGTATTACAACGTATTGTCATGCATAGTATATGAACTACCAAATGGTATATAAACTATTCTACGTAGTTCCACCAATGACATTATAAAAAGCGACTAATATCGAGAAACAATTGTCAAAACAAAAAAGTAAGTGGAGAGTTCTTCATCGCAGATCTTCGTAACGAGAAATTTCATCAACACTGCAAATAGCCGGAAGAAAGTGAAATCGCCTTTTCCAAAGTTATTTTCCTCAACATCCATAAGCAAATTCCGGCTCCAATCATTTACTTGCTACTGCGTGAAGCCTGAGATCTGAAGAATAAATTATATATCAGGATATACTACTGAGACAATGGTACCGTATAATACATTTGAAATAAATATCGTTATAACAGAGAAAAGATATTAATCGGACAAGTTGTTTTCTAAAAAAGTGAAGAGTAGTCGAACAGTAACGAAAACTTCAAACAATCAGTTGTTAACATTTCAAGATTTTTGTCATAATAGAACATCGTCAATATTACAGCATTATCGAAAGCCTGAAGCTATCTCTTCAGCTGATCATCATTACGGCGTGTTTCGCTCTCGATTGTACGAATCGGTTAGAATTTTCGGATGTAGTGTGACATTGGAGCAAAGGGGAGCCAAACAACGCGTATCGCTGGTGTCGGACAACGTGACAAGGTTACAGGCCAATTAAGGCGAGGCACCGTGGTACTGTGTCCCCATTGCATGATCCCCTCGACACCTCAATATAATCGTTATCTTTATTTACGATTCGTACGTGGGCCAATTGCGGATTTCACCGATCCCCGAAATTGATGCCACTTCTCTCTGACAGCTACTTAATAATTTCGCTCATTTTTATCCAGACGTCGAGTTTCAAGGTGGTTCCTTTATTCCGTAATTTCTTTTTAACAAACAGTTTATTTCCTCCGGAATGACACAGATATCTTAGGTAATAGTGATTGATCGAGTTCGTCCCTAAGAGGCCGCTTGGATAAAATGATAATCTGAGCCGCTCCGGAGCGTAAAGTAGAACGAGTCAATAGAAACGCTCGAATACTCGGCGTATCTTGTCCCGAAGAGATAAAGACAGAGACGTTGTGAATTTTGACGAGAGATTCGCGTCAGAGAGAGAGGTCAAAGGAAAGTTCGAATTAACGGGTTCGGGATTTAAAGATACGTATCTTGCCTCGTGAAAGCAGCTTGATATGCTAAAAACTGATAATATCGATACGTCATTTCGAAGACGAAGGATCTCTGATTAGAGCTGGAACGGAAATTATACGAAAATCAAAGTTAACGAGAATTGATATTAGATCTAGATTAATTTGCATTTTTGACAAGTTTTAATGTATCTATATGTATTAGATATTAAGTCCTTTTGTGAGTCATATTGCTGTGTTATAGTGTAGTGCTGTAGTCATGGTATCGCGCTATATCGCCGCACATTACAACGCTCCGAGTGGTGTTAGCATAAGCTGTATTTCTCGTGGACCTTCGCGTGCGTTGCACCTTCATAATCTTGCGTTCCTTAGACAGATTCCACGCGTTGTATTTACCTCGCGCTATATCGCCGAATACTGTATTCCTTATCGCTTCGACGCGCCATATATTGCTATATCACCACGTTACCGCGATTTCCTCATCCTACGTAAACATAACGGTACCCACATAGTTCCCAAACAATCACGTAACAAAATCCTAGTATTTAAGTAACAATAGAAAGAGTTAACAGGTGCGCATTAATAGATCGATCGGTATAAATGGATCAACAATACGAACAACAATTTTGTCCTTCGTGGTAACAGCTATACATGTATTCGTCGATCCTTGAAACATAACGAGTCTGACAACATTCGTGTTTAAAAGCCGGAACAAGAATATTTTCACTTTCGTGACGGTCGTAGAAGGAGATATAACAAAAACGAGGCATGAAAATAGAGGTACAAGATGTAAATGGTAAACATGACAAACGATCGTAATTCACGGCTGGACAAGCTGGTGTCATAATAAACGAGGGGGATCTAGTTTTTCTGCGAACGGACGGACAATCATGTTACATTGCTGCGAGGAAAAGTAGCGTGATACATTTCGCAAGACTAATTTCCTAGAAAAATGTTGTTTTTTTTTTTGAGATGCCTATACTTAGACGAAGTATCAAATGTTACGGGCTAACCAGTTATTGCTGCGCGAATTGAAAGCGCTAACGAAAGAGAAAGGAATTCATTTGGTCTTCGTGTGGCACAATTAAAATGGAAAAAGAAAATCACTGAGCTACTTGATGAGCGTCACGCTTGAACTTTGAATTTATATACAAATTGATGTAGTAACTTACAAGTATTTATATTAATATTTATGAAGAATGCGATAAAAATTAAGTAACATTTGGTAATTCATTAACTATTCATTGTATCACGATGCAAGTCTTTTATCTTTTCAAATATATAAATCAACAGTATATTTTATTATAATTGTTATAATTATCTTCCTTGTCTTCTCTGATTACATTTTTCCATTTGATACTGATATGATACTTCAAATTTAAAATATAATTGCAAGTGGATGAGTTTGACTTTCTTGAACAATACTGATTGATTTATAGCAGCTACACTATCATTTGATTTATACACCTTGGACGCTATGTTACAAATAATCTTAGGATCTCACTTTGTATTGCTTTTTTCTAAACAAGTACCTATTGCAAAGCTAAGCATACTTTCTTCTACATAAAAAGTTAATTTGATTCGACTGATAAAATAATTCTAATCAAGATGATATAGTTAGGAGTGTAAGATTTGCTTTATCATGTCTCTAGAAAAGTTTGGATTAAGAAATAAAGTCATAATACAGGAAAAAATTGTAACTTCCTGGATAAAATGTCCATCATGTTAGACAGAAGGTTTTATCAATTTATGTTACTGATTATACTTATAATATATGAGAACATATTTTTTTAAATTGTTTGCTACTGAAATTTATGAGACACGTTCATTAATGATATGTTATTTAACGTAAGGTAATCGTTTCACGATACCAATTACGCTGATAAATTGATGTCAACATCGAATGTATGTTTTAATGCGTATCAATTAATTAAAGCAATATAATAAATTACTTATGATAAATGAAATCGAGTAATTGAATACAAGGTGACATGCGAAATGTGATAATAAACAGTAACAAGTGGCTTGTTTTTTTAATAACCGATACTATCTTCGATTTAAATGTCTCGTTAGTTAGCAAACACTTTATCACAATTAGTATTGTCGATTGCAACTTTGATATAAAAGATAAATTAAAACTATTTTACCGAAGTCGGTACCAATGAAAATTTAATACGTAAACAAATTAAAAAATTCTTTTTTTGTTCTTGCACTGTGCACACTCTACCAGAATCTTGTAATAACTTCATTTGAAAATATTTAAAATACAATATTATTCTTGCACATTAATTGTCCATGAAATGATTTATTTTCATTTTGTAATAACATAGGAAGCCTAGGTAATAAACCTTGTATTTCATTCTTTACTAACAATCGTCACACTTACTAGATATGTAAAACGTACGGCACACATGCACGCGCGTGCATGTATGTGACATTACTAAACATCCTTGTCGCGTTAAATTTAAAAGCGAAATAGAAAAAGATAAAGTAGTACTTAAACACAACTTCAAACGTCGAAAATTGAAACTTGTAAAAGTAGATAATAGTTATTCCAGATGTACATGATTTCAGGTCACTGTAAAACATTAAGCAGTTAAGGACAATATCTTTAAAATATATTTAAAATGTAAGAGGACATCGCGTGATTATTGGAAAAATGATATGTGTGCCGCGTACAAAATATTCTTACCTGATCTCGAAGATGTGTATTAGAAAGGAAACCAGGTGTGTGGAAAATGTCTCACGTACAAAGTCACTTTGTTCGGGCAGGATGGACATACGTAATTAAATCGGAAGTAGGTCGACACCGTGGAACCGGTCGCGTCGGAGGACGATCGCAAACTAATAATGTGCTCTAATATCACGATGCTCGCTTCCACCTGTCCGCTAGCTAATAAACTTCAATCACCTCCCACCATAACTTTAAAGCGGCCTGCGTTAACCGCTCGAAAAACTTCTCCCGGGTTCCTTGCCTAGAGGAAAGAAGTCTGTGTATCATTCGGATGTAAACAGACAAATCCTGTTCTTTTGTTTTCCTTTTGCTTCAAACTTATGTGAACTTCTGTTCGATACTATTATCATCGAAACGTAAAATCTATTAATAGAGAAATTTATCTAGTTATTATACAATCTTTAATTATGCGGAAGAAATGAAGTAAACTTTTATTAGTGTCTTATTGTGGAAAAACTACTAGGTCACAGTTATTATAGTAAAAAAAAGGTGCAGAAAAAACCATTAAAATTATGATTATTTTTTCATGTATTCGTTCCTTCATAATACTTTTTATGAATCATTTGCTGATTGGTTTTATGATATCAACATTTATGACGATATAAAACTAGATGATGTATGAAATTGGATTTAGATTACGGTATTTGTATTAAAGCACTTAATTCAAAGTAACTAAAAGTATTAATTTTATTTTACATACATTTAATAAATTAAGATCTATCCATTGATCTTTGATATGTATCTGGATTCGTCGCACAACCTGGACACGTATGTAAAGATTCGTGAATGAATATCTCGCAATCCAGGCAAAACGCCTGACTACATTTATTGCAAATGTATATCTAAAAACAAAGATACACAAATAGTTTTCTTTTACTAAATTGTATTTATTAATCGCGACTTTTAATGTTTATTTGTGCATCATACCTTTTTGTCCATTTGTGAAAAATTTTTTTGGCAGCCATAACAGAGTGAAGGAGTTCCATCAAATACAGTTTCAGTAAACGGCTCGACAGGAAACAAATAATGATAGGATCGAGCTAAATGCGGTGCTGATACTAACGTTAGTCCACATGCTCTACACTCTACAGGAAGTTCACAATGTTTACTGAGACACTGAGGACATAGATATCCTGTGCTAATAAGTTTAACAGATTCTTCAGAGTTTTCTGCATGACTGTGAAAAATATTCTCTATTATTATTATATAAAATATATAGTTTTCAAATGTTAATATATCAATTACTTACCACATGCAGACTGCCATAGCAGAATCATTCACAGAGGAATGTAATGCATGATGTGGAAAACCCATTTTTACAAGAGCAGCATCCAGTCTAGTTGCAGCTGGTGGTGGATCTATATGCATATTTAGTTGTTCCTTGTAATGTTTGTCGTCCAATGCTACACCATGTTCTCCACCAGTTGCTGTTGCCATCCTTTTACAGATATACAATTCAGCAGCCAATCCTATCACACTGCATCTTATACAATCTGATTTCATACCCTAAAATCATAATTGATCATTGAAATACTAGATTCTGTAGTTACTATAATGAATATTACAGTACATACTTGTATAGTTTCATTAATATCTCCTGGATCACAAGTTGTTAGAGCTCCTATGATTATAAGAATCTCTTTACTAGCATGTGAAGGTAGAAGACGTAAAGATTTTAAAGCTAGTTCCAGGGAATTCTGTAATGAAGGTTCCCCTGCTGGTACCATCTGTTGCATGTTTTGTATTTCCTACAAATGTATAAAAAATTTTACCAAGACAAATATATAAATCTTGATAGCACTTTATAAAAATATACCTTAATATGCTTTTTAGAATTTCCAACTAATTCGCTCACTTTTTCTGCTCTTTTGTTTCTTGTAATAATTACCCCCAACTGACTTATAGGATTTTGATAAAAAAATTCTTCAACAAAATCTTCTAAGAGCTTAAAATGAACAATTGTATATGTATAACAAATGTTAACACAGTCACATTATATTGTATATCAAAGTAAAAATACCTTCAAGGAACATAAAAAACGTGTTGGTTTAAAATCTTGAATTGACATAGATTCAGAAGCATCCAGAATTATATAAAGATGTCTCATCATTCCTAATCTGGCACCAATCTTTCTATTCATCTGACGTTTTCTTTTAGCATTGTGAATAATATCTGCAACAGATGCTTCCAACAATCCATGATCATCTTCTTTAATTGCTTCCCTGTATGACAAATAATTTACATAATATTAGTTTACTTGATCCATTAGAATAATCAAATTAAAAAATAATGTGTACCATGTCTTTTCATAACCAGTCTCCCATCTGTACTCTTTCTCTTCTTCTTCATCAGCCATTTTTAATGTTTAAAATACAGCTACAATCAAACAATGTAAAATAATATTTTAAATTGTAGTACTGTTTATTTTTTATGGTTATATTTAACATTACGTTAAAATAAGGTTAATGTTGTTTATGTTCCTCTTACCATTAAAAATAACGTACCAATATTATGAACACGGTCACTAATGCAAACGTTTCCTTATACCTTTAGGCCTGTAATAACATAAACCTGTGTTTAAGAAATTTTCTTGAAGAATACAAGTGATTCATTTGAAAATATTCGTACGTCGTACGTATGATTTTCAAACGGTGTCCGGTGTATACAAGCAATTCTTTATTCTACATTTTTTCCTATAAATTATAGTAAAAGCATCAAATACATAACTAAAACATGTACGCATAGTACAATAATTAAAAAGAAAGCTATTAATGATGTACAATTTATATATTTATATGGAATAAACAATAACAATTTACCATGGACCTAGAAATATGGAGCAATATGGAATGAATAGACGGGGAGAGTGAAGTAAAATAAGAGGAGGGGAGAACTTTAATAGCCAATGCCATAATGTGATTGATTGTTTTTCTGCGCATGTTCCGTACCGCTAATTATGAATAGAGAAATTACAAATCATTTATTAGTATAGATTAGTCAAATTTTTGAACTTAGAAATTTGGAAATTTCAAGTTTATAAATGCACAAATTTACAGATATTCGAATTAAAGCATTTTTAAACTTTTAAATTTAGAAATCTAAAAATTTTCAAATATAGAAATTGAAAAATTTCAAATTTTTAAATGTAGAAATTCCAAAATTTTAATTAGGAACCAAGTTGTAACCAATTAAAAGTAGATATAGGTTTACCTCGTTGTCTCGCGCTCAATGGCTTTCCCCGTCAAAGTTACTCTCTATTTCTATATACCTAGGTCCATGCCATTTACGAAATTGCCATGCCATCAATTAACATAAACTTGCCTTTTCTATACTCAATTCGATGCCGGAACACGGGTAAATTCATCGAAGAAAAGCGGTATATTTGAAATTAATAACGGGGACATTAGGAATTCCGTCCTCCTTCTGCAAATAATTTAGTATTTTTCCTTCAGCAATTGGGCCAAAATATAACACTGTGGATATAAGCAGCAATGTTATAGAAAAGATACTACTCATAAGGGAAAATAAAGTAAAATTAACCGATAATACTCTCCCGCCAAAAGGTAAACTGTTGCCGTGGCGGGCAAGCGCCATGGCGCTACTGTCGTCAGACGCGGTCACTGTTTTCATCCCATCTCGTGCGGCGACGGCAATTATCCGGATCAGGGAAATCTAATTTTTCCACGGTTTAACGGGCGTAAGTCAATATCATTGATTTGAGCGTCGATTACATCGAAATCGGTAACGGACAAGTGTGTTCGAAAAATATTCACGGGTAGACAGGAAGTGAATAGTCGATGAAAGTTTTCGGTGACGAGAGCCATCTTGATGAGCATCGGCTTGCTCGTGATAGACAGAGGACGAGTCTGTGGCGGCGGCGGCGGCGGCAATGGCATCGTTTCTAAATGTTTTTCTAATTTCTCGACTCTCGTTTTATTTGCAACTGGAATAGTCGCTTTTATCGGTAACGAACGTTCACGGTGAGCCGGCTAATATTTCAAGAACAAATTATATATGTGAGTTTTGTTCGTTGGTAACTTACGCCACTGGCCGCGTTTACAATGACTCCATGCTGTGTCTGGACGTTTTACCATTTATGCGGGAATTCGTTTAGTTTAAATAAAAAGTTTCGCGTAATACGCATCGTGATACGTCTTGGAAGTGGAGACGATTTGCAAAATTACCAATGATAGCTGTGCGTGTATAGTGAACCTTCGAATCGCCGTAACAACGGCAGTGGTGTCTTGTTAAAAAATGTTCGCAGTTCGATTTCCACCGGCATGTTGCGTGTAAATTTTTCTGACGCCCGCGAAACTTCGAAGTCCAAATGTTATAAATTTTTTTTTATTTACAGCGTAGCGTATGAACAACGTGATAATGTTTATGAATCATTTGCTGAAAGAAATCAAAGCTTTTAGCGAATTTATTACGTATGATAATTAATAAGGTTCATTGATACGATAATAATATAAATTAAAGCTGCTATAAAAATTTATTGTATAAACAAGAAAAATGAAATGTTAGATTTTATTGTTTCAAAGTATTTTTTATGTCATATTTTAATTCAATAGTCTGTAATAAGAGTTTTTATCTAAAATTGTAGTTTGCCTTCATTAATATTAACCCATTCGCAATGGATGTACCAGTATGTGAAAGTGTACTCAGGTTTTACACAAATGACATACTGGCGCCTCAAAAACATAATGAATATCAGAAGATATAAATAATTATATTTCACAAATTAGAAACAGAAAATAAATACACTTATTGCTGAATTTAATATCACTGATATTAACACATTCGCAATGGGTGGCATAGTGATATCTTAAGGGTATAATGAATATGTATAGCTACAAATAATAAATATATATTATATATTTGTAATAAGCAATGAAACCTATGCATGTGAAATTGACACTGTTACGAATGGGTAAACATTTCATCTTCGATTTATGATAATCATTAAACAATAAAGTTAGTTCAGTGTCAGTATATCATTATTAATTAATATGCAGAACTGTAAAGATTACATATGAAAAGAATAAACTTTGCCTTTGTTTAGCAAAATGATAAAAGACATGATTTGTACACTTTTATCATCAACTGATGAATTCATGTAATTCGAGGAAATTAAGCAGCATATGTCCCCTCCTATTCCTATATCTTGCCATAAGCAATTTTTTCAGTTCTGCACAGTACAATGTAATTGAAAGTAAATGATAATTTTACTTTTTAGAAAAAAACATTGCGGATATAGGTTCATTTAGTCTATCAAATAAAATGGAGGGAGGTGATGGCCCTTCGGCCATCAGTAGTAATCCTACTGCTATTAAAGGTAATGTTTCTAATTTATAATATTTATAAAAATATTTAGTTTATTTACTTTATTTATCCAATAGTAAGTTTATATATGTCAGTGTACTAATGGTTTTGATACAAATGAAGTTGGTAGTCATTGGTATATGGTAACGAGGAACCTGACATACTGACTGTTAGCATGACAAAAACTTTTTTAAAAATTATTTTTGAATATTTTAATTAAGTAAACTAGTTTTAATGATCAAAATAAAACATTTACTTATGTTACCAGCTGCACAAGAAGAGATGGGAAGGTTAGATGTTCTTGTGTGTGGACAGTGCCATTCAGTTTTTCATTTCATTGAAGAGTTTCAAGAGCATCGTACTAAAGAAGGCGCTTGTACTCAAGTTTCTCATTTTCGTGAAAATAGTAATGTTAGTAATGTTCATTAAATTTGAACAATATCACTACTGATACCAGGGAATCATTGTTTTATTTTGATTCTTTTTGTAGAATGAACAAAAAGCACAAGTGTGGGCTTTCCTTTTATGGAAAGATTCACAAATCCAACAGGAAGGGCCAGACAAGGATTCAACAAATTCATGGAAACTTTACCAAAAATGGTGTAAAATGGATACGCACATAAGAGACTCATGGATAGCAGCTGGAAAAACTATTCAAACATTTACCAAAATCAGTAATGCAAAAATGCAGGATGTACCAAGGCAAAATCAAATAAGTGCAGGCACAGAAGGTACATTTTATACAAACAAATTCATTATAAATTTAAATGAAAATATTGGTACTACAATTATTTTATGTTTATATAGGAAAGCCTGTTATTGTTCGTAAAGTTATTAGAAATGGGCAGCCAGAAGAAACTGATAGTAAAAAGGATGTTAAAACTTTAGAAACCAAGGCTCAAAAAAGTAATGAATCTGTTGATACTGAAGTAGAAAAGAAGGAGAAGCCAAAATTGAAACCTTCTATAAAACCCAAGGTTTGTTCAACTAAATTTTATCAATTGTCCGGTTTCTATAGAAACTCTTGATTTATTTCTTATTGTATAGGGTAAATCTAGTAAAGCTGGTGAAGAAGATAAAGATTCAAGCGACGAAGAATATACAGTAGAAAAAATTTTAGCAAAACGTTTCAATCCAAAAAAGAGATGTTCGGAATATTTATTAAAATGGGAGGGTTATGGACAGTAAGTTTAGCTGAGTAGCTTCACAAAACATTATTATTAGAGAAAGGTTGCTACATAAAATGTACAAATAATTACAGCGAACATAATACATGGGAACCTGCTGAGCATGTAGCTACATGTAAACATTTATTAGAAGAATTTGAAAGAAATCTTGCTAAGCAAAAAGAATTAAAAGCAGCTCAACAGCAGGCTAATTCAAAGGCAGCAGGACGCGGTGGTCATCTTGCTCACAAAACAGTTATAAAAACAGAAGCTAAACCTGGACCAAGTACTGCAGCTCACGTAGGGTAAGACGATAACATTTTGCCTACTGATGCATACGTTACGTATTTTGTAAGAAATAAATTTTATACGCTACACTTTATATACAGAAGACCAATGCGATCAAGTAAATCAAAAGCGATGGATCAAGTGAAGCAATGGTGTGGTTCAATGAAAGATGAAGACAATGATCGTACGTGTATTTTCGTAGCATGCCACAAGATAATATTATTTATGAATTTCACAAACACTATAAAACATGCAAATTAATAAATTTTTCTCCAGTATTAGGGAAAAGGAGAATGGATTATTCTGAGAGTGATTCCGAGGATGGAGGCAGCAGTGCTGCAAAACGAGCGAAAGGTGACACAGGTAGCGACGAAGACTGGACCGGAGAATCCGAGGAGGAGAGATTATTGGGACGAAGCGACGTGATCCAACGCGCGTTTAATCGTGCCAATGCTCAATCGAACGGTTCTAACAGACCGAGTGGTTCGTCTTCAGATCTTGCGACTTCATTGGGACTTCAGTCTCCCGAAGGAGCAAAATCTAACCAACCACCAGTTTTGGTTGCGAACGCAAAAGGTGTCGTTAAAGTTGATCCCAAACAAATGCCGAACTTAACGTCTGGCGTTTACGTAATGTCTCGGAAAGATGGCATTATCAAGTTGGATTCGTCCCCTAGTGGAAAATTATCAGTAAAAGGTTCGCCGACTACACAAGGTGTTTTAATGGTTCAAAATCGAGATAATACTAACGTAGTGAGGAAGCAAGTAATAACAGCATCGCAGTCAAATTCTGTAACACCTGTAAAAGTGGTTTCCAAAATGGATGGAAGTCAAGTAGTAACTCAAATGAAAGTAGTTTCTAAACCAGTTACGACTAAAGCAGGAGGTACACAGAAAACAGAGCCTATAAAGATCCAGCCGAAACCAGATCCGACACAGTTACCGCAGATACATGTCGTGACCGCGGTGCCGGCTCCTATAACTTTGCAATCAAGAATAAGTACAGGAATACGTCCTGGACCTGTTACAGGCCAACGCAGTGCGGATGGTCGCCCATTGTTACCAAGACCTCCACTGCGTGCGACAACACCGACTAGCGTACTCGGAATCGGATCAACGATTCGCACACCTGTAAGGGCACCAGCCCCCAGACAAGTTCAGTCGCAGCAAACCCGTCAGGTGCTACAAAAACGTACGCCAGCTGTAACTACCCAAAGTAACTCGGTGAGTCCTGGAAATGTTAATCAGATTAGACCGAAGTTCACGGTGCTTAGTCCACAGCCGAAGCAAGTGGTAAAGTCTGGAACTAGTCCAGTGCAACAGGCTAAACAATCACCGAAAACACCAGTTGGTAAGCCACAGTCATTATTATCTCCGCAGCAAAAGTTACTAATGGCAAAAAGGAAAGCTCAAGAAGCAGCGGGTGTCGTTAAACCAGGTGGCCGTGGCCTCCTAGCAGGTGCTCGAGCTAGCGCCGGGCGAGGTAGAGGGAAACTGGCTGAAACACCAACGGCGACCACACCAGGAGCCAAACCAAAAGAAAGTAAATTGGCGGAGGGTGACGGGCTTCATATGGAATTCCACGAGGTAGGCTCCGAAGAAAGCAGCAGCGAGGGTGAACCAGAACTTCCACCTCCTGAGGCCGATACCATAGCCACTACGGAACCTGACAGTCCGCCCAGACCGTTCACTTTGTGTCCACTAACCGGACGCATCATCGGTCCAGACGGTGAACCAGTTGAACAACAAGCTGAACCACAACCTGAACCAGAACCCGCCACATCGTTATCCACCGTTAAAACAACTACCACCACATCCGAGAGTATAGACGTTTCTGCTACCACTACCACGACAGAATTGGTGCTACCTTCCCTTGATTCTCTTACAGAGACTGGTGGGATAATGAGAGTCGAAATGAGTCCGGGTGGAACAACGGGCACAATTGTTCAAACGAGCGAGCCAGCACAAATCAACTTAACGAATGTTTCTGTCCCGGCTCCGGATCTTCCATGCTTGGACGATACCGCTCCAGCCGTGGCCACTCCGGTCACAACGACGACGACAACTTCCTTGACAGAAGCTACATCGAGTAGCGAATCGACCATCGCTCCAGGCTTAACAACAGCTACAGTTACTTCGACTAGCACGATAACGATCGCATCCACTGATGTAGCCAAGTCCGAGGAGAAACTAACGGAGGAAAGGAAGGTAGCGGAAGATGCGTCGAACTTGGTGACGATAACCGGAGAGGATGGTGTTGTTTATCAAGTGGCAGGTCAAGCCGAGGATGGCCAAACGTTATTGGTCACCCGAGATGCCGATGGCGAACAGCAATGCGTGTATGTTACTACGGAACAGCAAGGTGACGACGGATCTGTATTAACGTTGGATCATGCTGTGGCAGAAGCCGTGGCTCAGCTGATACCTGATCAAGTAAACCTGGCCTCGCAGTTTTACGTAAAGGAGGGTGGAACAGAGCCTACTGAAAATCCTATGGTGATGTCCATCATGGATAACACGAATACTGCCGATGTGACTGAAGGGCAGGAGGAAGGTGACGGTCATGGACAAGTCGTAGCTCAAGTCGTACAAGCGGAAGAACCTACTCCAGGTAAACTGATGGATTTAAGCAAACTACAGTCTCGTTGTATGGCTTCCTTTCATACGAATCCTTTCAAAAATTGGACTCATTTCATAACTGTTCCCATTTCTGCAGCCCTATCCATGGCCATATCGCGAAATTTCATCGAATCCATCGCTTTGAATGTATTTATAAGTAAAGATCATTGTATGAAGAGTATATTACATTGTTTTTTATGCGTGTAATCACTAGGTGGTACCAGAAGAGTGGTTTTACTCTTACCTGACGGAAATCTGATGATGACCGAAGTGACGGAAGAACAGTACGCTGCACTCGGACTAGGCAAGTGAAGAGACACTTAAACGTTGACACACACGTGGAAAGAATAAACAATCATGCATCGAACTTATACGATTTATGTGGAAATTGTACGCTTAAGGGTGATCGTGGGTTGTATATATTGTAAGAACGTTCACTTCGTACAATTGCAATGGATAAAATTTATCAGATATGTTTTCCAGCTGATACAATGTGCAAGAAAAGATAACACGTAAACAACATATAAGCTGGTGTATTGTAAAAAACGCAAACAAAACAAAACAAAAAAATGATTCACAAATACAGACACGTAGAGGTTAGATTAATGGATAAACAAGTACATTTTAGAAATTTCATGTTTCACTATAAAACGAATCCGCTCTGGAATTTTAATTTTTATGTTTAATTTATGGTACAAGCAGCAAAAACGCGCATAGAGTAAAATAATAACGCGAAGAGAGAAAGGATAACTGCATCTTCGATAACGACACACCATTATACGTTTGAAGTAAGCATTGTATTTGTAGGATAGTGAAGTATAATCTGGGGTTTTATATTTTCCACGGAACAAACCAATAGGCTTTTTAATAAAACAAAATACTTCTTTCCCCTGCATACAAAGTCCAAGCTTTACGACGCGATAAGTCACAAGTTTTAGGGAAGTCGCGAAGGGGTACCGATCATGATAAACGCGAATCGGCGCTTCAACATGTAAATATACGAAATTAATACTTCTCTAAGAAGAGGGGGGACAAATTTTTACATAGAAGCTTGAACCTAGTTTGACTAGCATTTTCCATTGTACAAGATCGACGCAAAACGATGGTTCTTTTCGATTCTTCGTTTAAATTAATTTGCTGATGGGAAAGAGACATTGGCGTAACTAGGTGGGGCCTAGATTTTGGACTTGACCTTCCAAAATGTGGCACCGTTATAACAAATTATTGGAATAAGTACAGTGCCGAGCACGGTAGACTTCCTTAGGGTGATTTAAGGAAAGGAGGCTTCATCGTGCCCTCTTTCCTTACATCGGTATATTCCCTAGAGAAAACATTAACGCTTGATAAATCTTTTTCTCTACGGAAGCATACTTGGTCTAATGTACACGAAAACCTTAGTTACGCCAATGGCGGTAAATCGCGCTTCGTATGAATTTCATAAATTCGTACGCTTGTAAAAATTATTCGACACTACTTTCATGGACTGTGTATGCTTAATCTATCTAGATTAAATAAGTGCACACTTATAAAAGGAAACACATCATTTCTAAATCTATAAGGCTTACAAAAGAAGAAAATACAAATACAGTGTTGTTTAATGGAACATCACGCGCGTCTCATTATTATTAAGCCCATTCCTATTACATATATCTCATTATTATTATTATTAATCAGAGAAGTTTCTTTTTAAATACTATAAGTGCTTTTTTTGTCGAGACACTGAGAACTTACTTATTGTGCAGATATACACATCTATCAAACTAATTGTAATAATATTTCTTTTCTTTCTTTTGTTTAACGGAATCTTTGTAAACACCGTAAATTTATGTTACAAAATCGTGAGGTTTCTCTCGCTTGTTTATATTATTATTAAATTGTACAAAGCGTAATTTGTAATGTCTTACACGTTAAACGAGAAGGAAAGAACATTGCGTATAATGTTTATGCGTGTTGGGATGATTATATATAAATATTATATATATATATAAATGTATATGTATACACGTACGACGAATTCAAAAAAGATAAAAAAAAGAATTCTTTGTATTCAAGAATTACGGATAAATACGATAAGTGTACCTTATGTGATTATCATCGAAACGTCGAGCAAAAGCGAGTTTTCCTCGACGTTTTTAAAAAAAAAAAAGGGTTAAACTAGATTCAAGCGTTTAATTATTAAATAAGCAGTCCGAGACTCGCGATAAGAATTACAGAGGAGAAAGAACTGCACGAAATGAAAAATAAAAGTAAAAACAATTATTATATCTTCAGTGTAAGAGGAAACTATTTTGCACGATGTACGGCCAGGAATATAAAATCCTAGTATTTTACTAACGTAACCCTTTTGTACATAGAATTTCATTCTCTAAACCTTTATATAAAAAAAATTGTTTCCAAATAAATCATAGTCTTAAAAATTCATTATTGTATCCTTCCTTTTTCTGTCTGATATTTATTTTGTTATTCACTGGCGAACACATGTATATTATTTTCAAGATAGCTTTTATTTGTAAACAGAAATATGTGTTTTATTATTTTCGAAATTTAATGTACTCGATTTTGCGATGTTGCGTTAACGATCACATTATATTACACTGCGATTTCATTTGTTTACTTCGTCAAACAGTAATTGCACCTATCAAAGGTAGAATTATTCAAGTTTTGTAAAATGAATTCTGTACGCTTCGCCTCTACAGAAAATACCGAGAACAGAAATCTTCAAAGAACTCCTGAAAATGTATTTAATTGGAGAATGTCGTACAGCGTTATTAAGTCTCGTCAAGAGAATGTTGTACTGCAACAGAAGTATTCCTATCTGCTTTATGTTAGTTTCATTTGTAAAATCTTAATAGTTCAAGAAATAGTAACTGTGCCCATTTTTACAGAGTCGAAAAAAGAGATTGCGAAATGCGTGTCCGGCGGATATAAAAATGTTGAAACTCGAAACAGATTTTGATCAAGATTTACATTCGAAGTCTAAAGACTCGGATAGCGACCTTGAAGAATACGAAGCTCGATTCGGTACGAAACATTCTTTCTCTTAGAAGCTAATAAATTATTCAAAACTTTGTTTAGATGAATACGCCAGCGAGCTAGGTCAATTGGAAACACAAAAATTGAAAACTTGGGATGAATACAAGAAACTGGTAGAACTGACGCAGGTGAAGCCAAAGATTCGCAAGAGATCGCCATTAGTGCATATTACATCTCTACCGAGGCTCCAAATTTATTCGTAACTCTTTAAAATTATACTGTTTACAATTTAGTGTTTACGGTATAATAATTATATTTAATTTGATTTATATTAGGGAAAAGTTTATTTCGCTGCCACGAAGACACGGTCGAGCTAAAAGGAGCATAATCAAGCTGCAGCCGAAACAAACCATCCTGATCGCAGATACTAATTACGTGCAGTTTCGTAATTTTAATTTGAACCGGTTATATAAGGTGTGTACTGAATATGACACGTTAATTATTATTGTAGTGTTACATATATGCCTCAGAGTCGAACTAGAGGTTTAGAATCCATTTAAAGTTATAAAGTTTCAATAACTGATGAGCCAATTCCATTATTTCAGCAAACAGTCACGTTACAAAATGTCAGCACATTACCAGCAAGATTCCAAATCGAACCCAGGCCATATCGCTCCAACTTTCGCGTGATAATAAAACGTAGCGAGGGTACCCGGAACATTGTTCCCCCGGGAATGCAATTTCAATTGATCATCTTGTTCCGGTGCAACGAGGTTGACGAACCGGAAGAACTACTGGTGCTGAAGGTGGAGAATGGAAAACCGTTGGTCATCAAGTTGCATGGATACAAGGAACCTCCAATTTTATTGGGTAAAGAAATTGGAAAAAGATTCAAATAAATTCAATGTTAAACGCAAACTCCTCCATAGGGACCTGCCTGCCGTCCAGAAAGTCCCTCGAAATTTTACAATCGAACGTCAAGTGGGTCGTTGAACCGTGGCAACCAGAATCATCGTCTTCTTCAGAAGAGAGTACAGATGTGTGTACTTGTAAATCTCTATCTGAAGTTATAATACTTATATTTATTTTTTGATTAGTTGTATAATAATGTTACAGGCTAGTGAAGAAAGCGTGACATACAGTATCGAGAGCTGGGAAACTATTCACAATAAATTTGTCAGCACGACTTTCGACTGCAGAATAGGCTTCGTGGGAGAGACAGTTTATGTACCCATCAGATTCAAGAACGTTGGAGGAGGTGGTAGATTTTTCATAATGAGCGAAATTTCTTGGACTTCCATGTACATTCAAGTACGACCACTTTTTTGTATATGTATTTACTGCTTTAACTTCTGACTGTAACTTTTTATTTGTTTTTTTTTTTTATCAGGACGTCACGGATAAAAACGTGTTGAAATTATCCCGTTTCACCGTGTACCCAGCGTATTTCAAGATAAAGTCGAAGGAAAGAATGATTTTACATACGACCTTCTCACCTGATTCTTACGGTGTTCATGTGAATGTTCAAAATCATTTAATTTTATTTAATATATTTTCTTGTTTGTATCAACATATTGTTGCTAGGTGGACAAAGTGTACGTACTTTGCAATAATTGCACTATATTGGCCACAGAGATAATTGGAGATGGTGTGATATTTGAACAGAATTTAATCCAGATTGATAAAGTATATATTCTTGTCAACATAAATGGCTATGTATCGACAGTCCATTGTATAACATGAAACGCAGGCCATGGAGATACCAAAACAATTATTGTATACAAATTACAGAAATTAACAAAGGATCGATCAAAGAAGGACTTGGATAAACGCGCAAATTACTGCATAAATTTAAGCACAAGTGCTCCAAACATATTTGGTCAATGCACAATTACCGTGACTAACACGAGGTATAAACTTCAAATGATCAAAGAAACTGCTAGACAATAATAAGTTTTGGAATTTCAGCGAAATAAGAATGTACTTTCGATGGGAAAAACGAGACATTGAAAGCGACGAGAATGAAATAGATGAGTACAATTATTTTCCTCTGAAGTCTCTTTTTATTCAGCCAGAGCAAGGTATATTTGCTCCAACTTCTATTCACCATTTTACTGTAATTGCTGAATACAGTAATTTGCAACCAAATATTTATTTTGCTGTTTTACAGTGAGTATATGATAAATATTTTCAAGTTACGAAATTAAAACTTTGACAACTTTTAGATTGTACGTGGAGGACATACCTGAAATGGCTGTTTCAAACAACTTACTATCTCATGTTCAAGAATGCACTAACAGACAACGTAGTTGTGGAAATGTAATTCTTATTCTTATATATTTTATAACTGGATACCTAATTTCTCATACAAGTAATAATTTATTACAAACTAATGAAATAATTTTATGTACTAATGCTGCTACTAGTCTGTAGATGTTTGGATTGATGATGTGGAGGTCTGGTTGGAATATAAACTAGAGGACCAAATTAAAAGGTACATCTACATCTTAATCAATGTTTTATATATATTTCAATTCTTCATCTTTAATTAGTGATCAAGCATTTGATGAAATAGCAGAACGTATTACTGGAAAGGCATCATATTACAAGGACTTCATAGAAGACCAGTACGAAGGAACAGAATACGGTCATGACGATGAATATAAATCAACGAGTCAATTGGTAAACGCACGTTCAATTTTTAATTTTACTTCGTTCATCGAATTTTTCATATTTTATAGTTAATAGATGAACTATTTGCACATTACGACATCCTGAATCTAAAGCAATTTGTGCCACACTGGCGGGAACGTACGATAACCATGGGTATTATTAGACCCACGAGGTATATGGTTACACAATATTTCAAAGTAATTATACATGTAAATTTTTTGATATTTATTGCGTATATTGTATGCACCAGGACTTTGTACATTGGTATCGAGGAAACTTGTGTGTTGACGATAAAAAACCTCTCCGATAAGGCATTAATTTATTCGTGGGGTGAAGTGAATGGCGAAGATGCAGAGAAAGTGAAAGTCTGTGCGTGCCCTGAGAAAGGGGAAGTATCGGGTCGAACTTCCGAGAAAATTAAGATTACCCTTACACCGATAAAAGAGGTATATACTCGTGATATACAACTTTTTGCTTAAATTTATTCTACTACTCGTATGGACATACGATGAAAGAACATATATTTCCAGGGGATAGTGCAATCTTTATACATGCCCTGTTTCATTGGAGGTTCACAAAAAATTATAATACTTGGTGTAGAATGTTACATCGAACCTCTCTATGTGACATTCTATTTTCCATTGACCGACAAAGAGCCTGTGAAATTGAAGAACAATTTTATTCAAGTCGAGTGGCGCATGAATAGTCTTCAACTTGCTTTTGACTTAGCAGGAACAAGTACAAGGGGCATAGTAAGTTCTATTGTACTGCCAAGATTGCAATAAAATGTTCACTAATTCAAGTTGAACCTATAGTATAAGACTTTTACATTATAATTTTCTAACGATTCTTAAATAAATATTTACAAATATTTCCATAAATTTCTTCTGATAATTAATACAATAATCACATCATGTTACATTTTGCAACGTTGCAGAAGCTATTGGACAAATATCGAGCAAGAGAAGAAGAAGAATTAATGACTGCAAATCTGGATCAAGGGGATGTTCTTAAAGACGCTTCTGCAGGTCCTTCGATTAGCGAAGTGGCTGCTGAAGACTCGGGAGAGGAATTTACCTTGAGTACACGTACTTCAGAAATCATTCAAGTATAATACCGGCAGATTTTACCACAAGGTTCCATGAACTGGAGAATATTCGAATATCGTAATCTAGTAATTCATTCAACTCTAGATGAGTAACTTGGTGACAGGAAACGGGAGAAGCTCTGATGTTTCTTCTGGAGATATAGTTCCTTTCTTCCAAACAACTCTACCATCCGGTCAGCAACCAGTTGTACTTGAATTTTTAAATCTACCTTTGAGAACAGGTACATTTGTGTTGCAATAGTAGGCTTTTCTTGGTTTGGGGGGATGTAAGAGAAAGACTTTGGAGAAACATAGATGCTAGAAGATTGACATAAAAACAGATATTAAATTTTTAGTGGAGAAGAAGACTTTCATCATAAAAAATGAAACATCTATTCCAACTAATTTTCAAATTGACTTAAAAAATTTCTACCCTACTATGTGTTCTTGTGAAGGGCTGTCATTGGAAGATCGTATCAAATCCATCTACAAGAGAGTTCATTGCAAACAGAAAAGTCTGCTTGGTAAGAAGTAACTTAATTGTGAATGTGATTTAAAACTAATACTCTCTAGCTCATTTTATTTTACAGAAGATACAATGTCCCGAGTGAAACAACCAAAATCAGGAGTTGTAATTTACGTTGATCCCGTAAATTCATATGTTGGATCTTTTGAGGCTGTGCCTGTGAATATTTATGTTTATGGTGATACGTGGGGTATTTATGTTGACAAATTGGAGATAAATATAAGAGGCTTACCATTGTATACGTTAGAAATATGCGTGCAGGTGGTTGGGTTACCCATATGGTTATCAATTTCGGATAAAGGACAGTCAAAAATACCTGTTATTAAGTTAGAAAGTTTATCTGTTCTTCTATCTTTTACAAGAAAGAACCTGATGTTTCAAGTCTATTAATTACTTGTAGATATGGAACAACAATGACAGGAGTACGTCTGCAGGAAAGAAAAATAATAGTGTGGAATAATAGTATCATACCTATAGCTATTAATTGGCATTCATTTATAATTAAACCACAGATAGAGAAGATGCCTTTTAATGTTGTGTTTGATATTTGTACTTCATTTACTGACAAGGTAGCTTCAGATATGAGAGCTAGCAAATTAGGAAGTGTTAACGAAATTCCTGTACAATATGAAAACTGTTGTTCTAAACTAGAAAATTCAAAAATCCACGAGTTTGACTCTATGGGAACCAATGTTGATTCTGATAGTATAACAGGATACACTTATTCGTAAATATTTTTTGATAATATAATAGTACTTTGACAACACTAATTTGTAGTATTTTATGGAATAAAGTATTATCTAGCAACAATATATATTATTTTATAAAATAATTTAGGGGATCCTCTTATATGGCCATATCCTGGAAATCAAATTATGAATCTTTATATACTACTGAAATTTCAATAGACTATACTAGTCAAAGTATTACCAGAACTTCCAAAAGTATTTTTAAACATGAACAAGATGAAGACACTGCATTCTTGGATATAAATCATCATAACATTGCCCAGGAAACAGGGGATACTGAAATCAAAGTTTCAATACTTCCTTATTATGGATCTATTGATACAAAAGCTGGTGCAGTAAGAAAACAGGAAACATGGATTATAATAGTCTTTTAAGAAAGATATTTGAAAGTATGAACAATCAGCAAATACTTTAAATTTTCTCAAGGTTGCTCCAAGAGAAATGTTTCTTCTACCTGATAAATATGCTTTTCTAACTATCAATGTACAACCTGAAAAATTAAAAAAGAACTATGAAGGTGAACTATTTTGTAAAATCCTGGGATTCCTACGAATTGCTCCTAGTGATAAGTTTGTACATATTTTTAACTAATACTGCAAACCAGTGAAAGTTAAAAAAATTCATAAAGTGGTTTAAATTCTTATAGGTATAGAGACAACTATTACTTTAGACAAGATGGAAATTATCTTTCCCCTATAGAGATTGATGTTACTGCAAATATTATTCACCCAAAGTTGACCTTCAATATTCCTAAAATAAATAGAACATTTGTGTGCTGTGCTTATGATGTGATGCAAAGCGAAGGAAAAAAATTAGAGTATAAAAAGAAAATTCAGTTGTCTTTATTAAGAAAATATTCATTCAGCACAAGCTAATTGAATATTTTTTATATTTAGATTGGTTCAAACATTTTTTTTACACAACCATAAACCTGAAACAGTACGTGTAATGTTTGAAACATACAAACCATTTCATATCAAATCTGTTGCAATTTATGCAAGAACCAATCCATGCAAACTTACAGGAGTTATATGTATTAATCCCAAAGGATGTGCAGAAGTAATCTACATTTTTAGTTACTTCAAATGCAAACACTGAATAATGTCTTTTTTGCAGGTAGTAGTAGTATGTATTGTAGATGCACAATTCATTGAAACAATAATTCATACAAGTAAAAGTCAAGATATGTATGATTCAGTAATTACGATAACAGAGCCATTGCAAATTACACACACTGATAAAACTCAGCAGGTTTCAATCTTAATCATTTTTTAATTACCAAAGTAAACATTATTTTTCATTAAATATATTCAATTTCAGGATATAGAATTAATTTTGGAAGTTTGGCTGCCAATACTAAAATTATCATCATATGCATTAAACTTTGGTCTAGTTTATGTAGGTGATACTAAAAAATTAATGTTAAACATTACAAACTTATCAAGTACAGTTGTATTTCTTAATATTTTTGAAATCTAAACTAAGAAATATAAAATGCCATTAACATTACAATTTGATTAATCTTTTAACAGTATATGGTCAAGGTATCAAAATTAATAACAAATTGAAAAACAATGATTTTATACTTGATCAGAATGATGTAACACTAGCAGGTTATTCTGATAATAAAAGCAGTTGTTTTATGCTTACAGTTTCCTTTCAGCCAAAGTAAATTAATTGAAGCAAAAACTTGATTACAGTTTATGTTGATTATTATATTTATTTATTATTTTATATAGGAAACCTGGCCAATCGGTTGAAACATTAGAGATAACAACTGGCATTCCTTACAATACAGAAGAATGTGAAATTTATGGAGAAGGAACATTAGATGAAAAATATCATACTCCGAGTGTATAAACACACAAAGGATCATGATAGATCTTTTGAAGGCACGTTTCAAAACACAAGAAATTCATTGTAGTTTTCAATAAAACTTAATACTTCTAAATTATTAGTATTTGTTGACGAGTTATTTAGAACCAGTAGGTTATTATCAACATAACGTAAGTATAATTAAATACGACATATACAAAATAAATTAGTACACTTGTTGACCGCCGCTCCAATACCAACTGAAGTGTTATGAATAATGGCTCCGGAACGATCAATATTTATTATCAATAATTTGTCAATATTATAAAAATGCTTTCACTTTCATCAGATCATCTTATCAATAATTTAAATACTGGCAATGCATTAATAAATTCTTTCCGATCTTCAATAATCTTGATAATAGTGAAATATTGACAATATATATTGATCGTTCATGAGTCCCTTCACGACTTCCTCTCAGTGTCTCCACCTGCCGAAGTAAACGCAAAACACAGAAGATTTTGCATGTCACGTGACCGACGTAGCCAATCAGAGAATTTCGAGGGCCCTATACGTGGCATAAGGCATGAATCCTTTCCACGTCCGCCATTTTGACATACGGTACTTTTCGAGAGTGTTGGTTTTATGTTTTATCGTTTCTCGTGAAAATAATCTTTTTTATCGAAACGTAAGTAACGCAAGTGGCTTATACGGACAACGTGACATTACGGGAAACACTGAATAATCAGACAACGTTTATAAATAATGGAAGTTTGAGCGGGGAACCCTTGACGATTTGCTGGGGAGTAGGTCGAAGGTGACAGACAACCGGGTGTACGCAGTGGCTTCACAAACCGCACAATATCTTCCGCCTTGCTCGCAATACTTCGGTATTGGCGTTTTAGGTAGCCGATCACGTTTTAAAAGTGCATAGATCACCAGCAAAACGCTCTAGAGTGATCCTTAACGGTATGCTAGTTCGATAATCATAGCGATGTATTAAAATGAGAATCAATAGCGGGCAGCGTGAGCATCTCGTGCATGCCTTCACAACATTTTTTTCCTTCGTTAATCTGTAATCCATGATTCGAGTCGTTCGTGATAATTTTTTTTTTATTGTTTGCTTCCTATATTACGTGCAGGTTAGCTTTTAAGCCTTTGTGTCAGAGTATCAGTAGTTCACGCATGTTTCTCTCTACGTTGGCTCCGTCTACGTAATTTCAGTTTTTTCCGTTCACGAAACGTGTTCCTTTTGCTCACTCGTGTATACGTGTTGAAAATTGTTATCTCGAATCGATCGAAGTTTCTTTTTCCGTTCGTTCTGTGGAAATTATTACTGTGCGATTTTGAATCGTATATAGTATTATACGTAAATTGTATCGTACATTGTATGGTTGCATATGTCTCGTATAATTGCGATTCACTGAATGAATTTTATATAAGAAATTTGTGATAATAAAGATATAATAAGGTTATAAATTCATAATTGTGCACTTTGTGGCTTTTGTATTTTTACAGATGATGCTCTTGCCCTTTAATTTTTCAATGTTTTGTTCTTACATAATTGTTAATGTATATTTGTAAATGAAATCTAGATTAATTTTTGTATTTGCATTAAAAAATGGTTTAAATAAAATAAACAAAGAACCATATTAATGTTGTGTTCCGAATAGTTGAAACGTTGATGTCATTTTTATCATATAATAATTTTGAATCATAATTTAGTCTTACACGAATTATTATTTGTTTTAGGTATTTACATAATCAACAGTAACCATGGGGAATATGTTCGCAACATTATTCAAAGGCCTATTTGGCAAAAAAGAAATGAGGATTTTGATGGTGGGTCTTGATGCAGCTGGTAAAACCACAATTCTGTACAAATTAAAATTAGGGGAAATTGTCACTACAATTCCCACTATAGGTAAACATAAACATTTCTTTACAATTGTGCTTAAAATTATATTTTGAAATTATTTCAATTTTATTTTCTTTCTTGGAAAATATAGAGAAGGTATATCTGATGATGAATTTTACTGATTTTACATTATAAATTTTAGGTTTCAATGTAGAAACAGTTGAATACAAGAATATAAGTTTTACTGTATGGGATGTGGGTGGCCAAGACAAAATCAGACCTCTGTGGCGACATTACTTTCAAAATACACAAGTATGCTATTTACTGATTTAATTATTTTTCTTAATGTTATTAAGGTTTTACAACTTTTTTTTTAGAATTATTCTTTTTCTTACTACTGTTAAATTTGTGTTTTAGTATTAATTTTTACATAGGTAACTTACGAAAAAGGATTCTATTTTTACACCTATTCCTATAAATTAAATTTATTTTCAGGGACTGATATTTGTCGTTGACAGTAATGATAGGGAACGTATCGGTGAGGCACGTGAAGAACTAATGAGGATGTTAGCAGAAGATGAACTTAGAGATGCTGTACTTCTTATATTTGCTAATAAACAAGTAAGTATAGTTACAGATATATTAATACACAAAACATTCTTTAATTCATCATACATAATGCCTATTGTGCAAATACAATGGACAGATGCCAGGAGAATTGTTAATCACTAAGCCAAAAGAAACCAATTAACGAAACAATTTATACACTTAAAGATACATACACTAAGATACCTTTAATTTTAGGATCTCCCAAATGCAATGAATGCAGCGGAGATTACCGATAAGTTGGGCCTGCACTCTTTACGCAATCGTAATTGGTACATTCAAGCAACGTGTGCCACAAGTGGAGACGGACTTTACGAGGGCCTCGATTGGCTCTCTAATCAGCTCAAAAGTGCCAATCGCTAATTGGAACGTTATTCTGTCAACATTCAGTTGCTATATTAACATCATAAAAAAAATCAGCTACACACCTGTCCCCCCATGAATGAGTAATAATATAAAAGAGGTAACACTAAGTGCAAACTGCGAGTTCTTTTGGATCTTCAGTGGAGGGTGGAGAGATTATCGAAAGTTGTCGTTGTGCCAGGAAGTTTTGGGGGGAGGGGAGTGGAGGAACGGCCGCAAACACATTCGAACGGCCACACAGGACTATTGCCTTGTGCAACTTATTATTATAATTATTATTATATTAGCATTATAGTTACACTTTTTACACAGAGATACCACGAGAAAGGTGGAAAACTTGGAAGTAATTGTATTAAAGTACCTAACTCTGAAACATACAATATATATTGATTAATTAATAATTTGAATATCTTTGAAAAAAAATTTAAGAACAAAAAAGTGAAGTACCCATGGTGTTATCAGTTTGAATGCGTTGGACATACTGATTATCATAATGTAGCTGCATATTGTACATTACATTATATAAATACGATGATAAAAATGTGATCAATAGATGAGAGAATGTTGCTCTGTCCACTACATTACAAATGTCGCATCGGCCCATCAGTTGACATGAAAAAGAAAAAAAAATGGCAGTGAGTGGTAACTGACGGTGCAATGACTTACTGTTTCTAGTTGCAAAAGTTTGTTTCTATTTTTTTAAGTTTTCAGTGGTATACGTCGAAAAAAAGTAAAAACAAAACTATACAAAATGGTTGTCTCACTGCTTGGTCATCGGCAGGTGCGGTAATTGCACCCTCCTTCACCTGCTATCGATGAAACTAACAGTCAGTCAACCATTTATATATCTCAGTGTAAAAGAGATATCATTTATTTATTGCACCTTGATAAGGTAAAATTAGAATATTGTCAACATTCCGAAATTATGCATCGATCGTGGCGGGAAATGCAGATAAAACGTTAAATGAAAAAAAAGAAACAAAACGATGGAAAAAAAACGTGGAATAAAACAAAATATTAGGAAAGAACCTCTCGCAGTAAAGAGAGATAGGCCTCGCAATTTCTAAGCCAGCAATCCAAACTGGCATGGCAATCTGCCAGATAAAACCGTTTTTGCAAGCCCTTCAATCTCCTAATGTTTCTCCTGTCCTTAAAAAAATACATTGTTTTTACGAAATAATCTTTCCCTAATTGATCAAATCGCCTTTCCGTCATATGCGAAGATTCGTATAATTATATATGAATGTTTAAACAATTTGTGAAATATACTGTAATTGTGCTTTATGTAGTCTATGTGTTATTTGCCGTTTAAATAGTTTGTTTTTGTTCTGGCTGATTATAAATAGATTTATATATGATCCTACTTCGGGGTGCTTGCATATTGCGCAAGGAATGGCCAGGATAAAGGAGTTCCAGCATTGATACGAAATTAAAACGTTATCGTAAAAAAGAACACTTGTGTATATCGGATGAATACAAACGCACCTCTATCCTCATGGCGAGCTCAGCCTGCACGCATCCCTTGTTCAGACGATGGTACTTCAGTTACAAGCACGATTACTTTTTTTTTACCGCTGAAGACTGTGCACTGCCTATACCACATGTTTCATTTAGTAACGTAAGTTTCATTTCTTTTTTTTTTTTTAATTAACTAATTATACATTAATTACGGATAAATTACGGGTTATAGATTTTTATTCTTCCTAAAAAAATAAGAATAGTGTATAACAGTGATGGGCACTCGCACCGATAGACAGAATTGTTGAAATTGGCTTTATAGAAAAGTTATATATGCAACACTTGAAAATTTGGCGGGCACTTGATCTACCCATCACTGTTATACATTCTTCTTGCAACAATATATTATATTTGTGTGTGTCAATTTTCTATTTTATTTTTAACAACGCGTGTAAATTTATCAATCTGAGACAATATGGATTTTAATCTAGATTTTTTTCTCCCGGTTATGTCAGAACAATAAATAACATAACGTTCAAGATGTACGATATAGACTTTTATTACCAGCAGAAGCATTATTAATCGATACGTTATTGATCGAGATATCTTTATGATCATTTCTTCAAAGATTCAGAAATCTTTATCAATGATTGTCTGTTATATTTCATAACTACTATCGCGCTAATTTCATGCGTTGTCTTTTTGCTTTATCTACTAATCGTTAATTTGTTTCAAATTTCCATGATTTCATATAACGCTATTTCATTTATCGATTAAAACGATTCATCAGCGTCAACAATAAATGGGTTAAAAGCTTACAAGTCACATTCATGACATCGCTCCTATGAGCATGACCTCATGTCGTGACATTTTCATGCACGTAACCTTCGCAGTGTGAGTAAGTACTCGATACTGTGCATTGTCATATTTAACTTCATATAAACGTACACTCGTGTGTAAACGTAGGCTTCCTTCGGCTAAGAACGATTGCAAGGCGAGAAATTTCCCTTTATTGGGGAGTCTACCATACCTGTCAGTGTACATTATGTTCGTGCGAGTAAATCTCATTTTATTATTTGGTTAAATAATTTTACAAATTGGCAAGAAATGTATTATACATTTAAATTTCAATTGATCCGATAGAAAACAGAAACAAATGTTCAACTTGTTATCATTAAATAATTTTTGTATAGATTATTACGTAAATATGGATAGAATATTATAATTCGAAAGTATATGTTATTATAAGGAGTATTGTGTAGCTATGTATATTATTGAGTATAAAAAATAAATCACGTGAGTTCTTTTAAAGACTTGAAGACTTTTTATGCACGTGTGTGAACTCGTCAGGCAAATTTTTTTCCTTTCTCGTGAATGGTAAAAAAACCGTGGATAACATTCTCAATCAGCAGACTGGATCGAATAAGTTTTTATCAGAAGTTTAGATCTAAAATTCAAAGTGAAAGCTAACGGAAATTAGTTTTCGATAAAAGAATTTTTTCTAATTTATACCGGATACTAGTTAATCTAGTTTAATTTATGATTAAGCGCACGTCAATGTTTCTCCAAACTTTCAGTATATAATTGTAATTACGAAGTCGATTGAATATTAGTTCTATGACATTTCAAATATGTTTTATGAGCATCGAAACGAATATAACATGCGCGCTGCACTGATCGTGATGAACTATAATATCGATATGGTAACGACTCTGTGCGATTTTTATTTCTACGAAAGGTGCGATCATGAAAAAAAGATGGCGCTATCGATCAAACGAGGCCAGTCGTCATTTCGTATCTATTCAGCGTACTTCCTATCCATCATGTTTATGGTTCTCCGGTGCTGCCATGTACATCGCTCGGCGATGTATGTAGATATTGCGCTTGTGAAACGGCGCGAAACCGGTGCCCCTCGTATTTTTAGAATTATTAACAACCTGCAGAGTAACGATCACGTATTGAATGTCAGACGAAGTTGTTTGTGATAGATATGCCTCGTAGACGGCGCCAGTCTTCTTCGTCGGTAATAACGAAACGTCCGGTACTCGTCATCGCGGTCTTTCAGATCGCGCGCCTTTTCACAATCAACCGCGTAAAATCGTCGATCGTCGAATAATAAATAGCCGGTGAAAAGTTCGTTGAATGCAGACAGCAAGGTAAGCGAAAAATCCTTCGTGAAATGGTAATCGTGTTCGTATAGTAACGTACAGCATATAATACACGTATATATTGTGTACGTATAGACGTTATCGTTCAATTTCGAGGTTATCGTGTACGCAATGACTCATGCGGGACGGGATACGAATTTTTTGGTCGGAATTTTTCTGCGGGAATTAAAACGAACGTTAAATGGTAAAAGTAAACGTAGACCGCTTGCAGTTTTTTTGTACCGCGTCGTTGACGAGTTTTTTGTTATTATGATGAAATATCGTTCCGCAACCTGTCATTTGAAGCATGCATTTATCAATAACGCTATGTTGTTTGACTCGATACATGGCGCGATTTAACATGTTCTCCGTGTATCGGGGGCTGTGGGGTGAATTAAATAAGTAAAAATATTATCGGTATTAATATTCATCATGTTAATTGACTGTGATGCGATTCGTGTCGTACACATATCGCTTAGATAGTCGATGTGGATTTATGGCGCGAACGTTCGCCGAGTGAATGGAGTACACGTATAAAGGTACAGTGCATTATAATAATAATAGAAAACTCGTCTCGATCTCAGAAAATTTATATCACGAGTAAGAATAGAAAGAGAATTCTACCCTACATTCGGGAACCGAGAAAAACTTAACGCATTTTCCTCGTTCACCGGAAGTCTTAAAAAATCGACGCGTCGAGAGAAGGTTCTCGAAACAGACCCACCGTTGAATATAAAAATCTGTCGACATGTGCAATCGTTGTTATTGGTGGTATCTTATATTTAGACGGTGTCGATGTTTCGATGACCTTCGCGAAAGTTTGGACGAGTGTAATGCATCTCCGGCGACGATAATATTATATGTATGTACTACTTTTTTTCTTTTCATCGCGTGCAGATGCGTTCATATCGACGCACCGTTCTGTCCTCGCGTAATGACGTTGCCAAAAATGCGTTCTCGAAGACCCTCGATCGGGCACACGAGACTTCTATGCATCGCGCTATAAACCGTCCCGAGTTTACACGACCGTCTGTGTTTTCCCTCCGACGGGCCATGGTTATTAATTTCCCTTGGACATTGGAAAAATATTATTCCAAGTCGAGACCAGATTGTTGTTGTGCCAGGCGAAATTCTCAGAGGGTGGATTCTCTCGATGGTTAAGAATTTTCGATCGGTCCACTCAACTTCTCGTCGAATAAACTCCACACGAAATAATATTTTAGTATCACTCCACGTTTGTTATTGGAGTCAAATTTTTTTTTCGAAGTATTTTATTAGGTGCTGTTCACATAGGTGTATCTTCAAGAATTAACTTTTGTTTTTTGTAACAGTGGTGGACATCCAAGGACATCGATAATATGGAGTACTTGACGAGAACGAAGACATGCTCCTAGATTTCTATAGGTCCATTTTCCTATGCCGGATCTCCCTACATTCCAGCCTCCTACGTCCTAGGACTTCCTCAGGTATCAGGTATCATTGCACCAATGTCCCTAGGGTATTCCTAGACTAAGGCACTCCCTATTTCGCCATTATTTCACACTAATACTATTCATCACTATCTTAATCATAACGTATCAGACCTTCTAAAGTTCATATATATTTTTTCAGAAGAAAAGCCATAACCTAACCGCAACTCAAGACAATGGTCTCTCGACGTCAGGCTTTCGACGTTGCGTCGATCGAAAAAATGACGATCGTGCACGGGCTCGTCAAATTACAAACGAGATTTTACTTGCTTCATCATCGCACAATTGTGCCGTGCAGAAACGTACGAGCTTGTACGCGCATAATACCGCGAGAATGGCGCCAACATTCCCATCTGTCGACGCGTGTGCGCCGTAAAATGTTGGATCGCGACGTGGCCGTTTGCCGATAACGGGTCGGAGCCTGTTGCGTGGGTGGTGTGCTACATAAGGAATATAAGGTAAATTAGCGGTGGATAGAGAGAATGCTATAGCACGTATGCACATACGTATGTACAGTGCAGAAACGAGAATCTCTATTAGTTGCAACGTGTTAATGTAGGTAAAATCCTAGCTGCTGGTACAAGAATGCCGTATAATTCAGCTATTAATTGACGCCTGATTGCTACTCATGCAAATTCGATTAATGGAAGCGGTCGTCGTTCAGGCGACAAGAAATATGTGCTTTCCGAGTGGCGCAGAATTGCCTTTGACATTTTGCTGCCTCCACGATGAAAATCGGGCTTTTCTTCGCCTTCTCCCGCTGTTAATTGGCATCTAAATGACGAACAACCGTTATTTATACACTGAACATTCATTAAGATCGAAGCACTACTATTGCGGATGCAGAAGTAGGTTTATAATTCTTGTGTAAGTTGTATAATTCCCGGCGAAACACTAATTTACTTTCTGTACACGAAATCCATTCTATTTCAGCATTGTCCTTACTAATGCTAAGTTGAACACGTACATATGCCATAGCACAGAAACGCGACAGAAGAAACATGTTAATTCTGAGACTTTGACTCGTTGTCCCGAAGGTACCTTCCTATCCACTTATCTTAATATTCTCAAATTTTGGAATTACTATTCGCAACTAAATCGGTGGCTGTATTTATCCATTGTAGTCTACGCAACTCAATCGGGATATATTTCATTTCAGTGCTATCCTAATCCATAAATATCCGAGTACGTGACTGTCAACAGGTATACCATGGTATAGAAACGTTGTAGAAGAGACAAGTCAACTTTGAGACATTAATTCCTAAAGGTACCTTCCTATCTACGTATCTCGTTGTCCTTAAACTATGAAATTAATCATAACTTATAACTGAAATGTTGTCTGCATTCATCTATCATAGTCTGCGCCGACAGTTGATCAGGATAAATTTCATTTCAGTGCTATCCTTACTAACCCATGGAATATTCGAACAGTTGGACAGCAACAGGTATACCATAACAGAGAAATGCGGTAGAAGAAACAAGTTAACTTTGAAACATCAGCTCTTCCTCAAGGTACCTTCCTATCCACGTATCTCTGTGTCCTCAAACTATGAAATTAATCGCACCTCGTAATTGAATCGTCCGTCGCGTTCATCCATCATCGTCCGCGTCGCCGTTCTATCAGGAAGTCGCCGTTGCCTGTCGGGTTTCCACGGATCGGTCGGCGTTTCGTTGAACGACGGCAAATAGAATTTTAAGTACGCAACGGGCTAGGTTCACGATGAAGCGGTGAAAGATCGAAGTAAGCAGAAGCGTCAGGAAAGATGAAATGCTCGATAAAGCTTGGCTGAAGTTTCACGAGTTGCTCGGTTGTCGACAGCTCCTGAAATATCGGTATTCAATTTTGGCTGTGTACTTTACAACGAACTCGGCGGCCTTCCAAGATTCCTCCGGTTCGTTGCTCGAGAATTACGAGCCATCGATCTTTGCGGCGTGCCTCGTGAAGCCGTCGCGTCGCGTCGGATCTCCTTCGACGGAGGCAAAGATGCCGAGGCGAGGAACCGAGCCGAGCCG